AACTCCTGCATCTCAGGTGATGTCAACCGATATGGTGCCTTTGCTATCGGAGCGGCACCAGGCACCAAATCGATGCGAAACTCCACCTGCCTCTCCGGAGGCACTCCCGGTAACTCCTCGGGGAAAACATCCTGAAAGTCCTGTACAACCGACACACTGCCCACCTCTGTCGCGGTCTCTACCCTCGTGTCCGAGACAAAGGCCAGAAATCACGTACATCCCTGCTGCAGAAATCTCCTAGCCCTCGCAGCCGAGCAGAGAGTCGGCCCCTGCGAGGCCCTATCACCATGTATCACCAGTTCTCCCCTACTTGGGGTTCGAACCCTCACCAACTGGCGCTCACAATTGATCATGACCTTGTTGGCCCCCAGCCAATCCATCCCGACAATCACCTTCAGCCCTCGCAACGGTATCGGGACTAGGTCGACACGAAACCTCTCACCAAGCACATTCAGGACACAGTCCCGATACACCCTCGCAGGATTCACAGTGCGGTCATCTGCAATCTCTACCTCGAGCGGGGAATCCAAAGTTCCCGGCGCGTCCCGGAACTTCTTGCTAAGCGCAAGAGACACAAACGATCGGGTAGCACCCGAATCAAACAAAACATGAGCCGACATACCATTGACCAAAAAGGTCCCTATGCAAGCATAATATATATATAAGTCATACAAATCATAATGAGCAGAGAATAATAGATACGTACCAGCCACAACGTCTGGTGCTGCCCGAGCCTCCTCGGTGGTCAACTGAAATGCGCGGCTCTTCACCGCCGAAACATCCGCCTTGGCAGGGCGGCCATCAGTAATCCTCAAGGTGGCGGGCGCAGGCGCCGCCACAGCTCCTCCCCCTCCTTGCAACCTCGGACAATCGGCCTTTTTATGGCCAGTCTGGTTGCAGTGGAAACATATCAAGCCCTTCCTGGGGCAGTCCCTGCTTACGTGGCCCGGTTGACCACACGTATAACACACCGGGTTCGACCCCCAGCATGCTCCCCCATGAGCTCTCCCACACTTGGCACACCGGCCACGACCCTGTTGGCCCTTACTAGATGTATCAGTGGTCTTAGGCTTTTTAGCCTGACCTACTGCTGCATGTGCCTGCTCAGGCTTCCGCTTGGTGCGAAAGTCTAACTCCATATCCCGCTCACGGGCCTTCTCCACCATCTCGTTCAGGGTTTTGCACCCTGTGAAGCTCACAAACTCCCGAATATCATCCCTCGGCATGGAATGATACCGTGTCCTCCTCATGTCCTCATCGGTAGCGTACTGTGGGATCCCGGAACTTGGCAGTGATCTCTGCCACAGTCTCGGTGGTCTGCTGAAGGTCATGAAACTCCCTCACAAGTCGTTGCACCTCAATTGGTGGTGCAAACTCCAAATCAAACCGCCTAACAAACTCGGCCCACGTCATCTCAGCCACACCGGCTGCTCCCACCTGGCTAGTAACCTCGCACCACCAATCTCGGCCTCTATCTCTCAGCATACAAGAAGCGAAACCCACCTTTGCCGCATCCGGGCAAGAACTCGTGCCCTGGGCATTCTCGATATCCGCCACCCAGCGTCGGCTAACAATGGGGTCCCTAGCCCCGAAAAACTCTGGCGCCCCACACGCCTTGAACTCCCGGAACGAGGGAGTTCAGGCCCCGATCTGGCCTGCAGCAATCTCAGTTCTGAATGACCTGAGCCTCTCCTCCATGATCTTCATAATACCCTCCTTGATCGTCCCAAAGATCACTGGGGTAGCGTCAAGGATACCCTTTGTAACCTCGGCTGCAATGATCTCGCGCAACCTCTCATCAACAGTGCACCGCTGCCCGATCCGGATCCAGATCCTGATCCCCCTGTCCCAAATCGTGTCACCACCATGATGAACTGAAATGTCATAAACCATAATAATCAGGACATATATATAGGGGATCTTCCAACACCGGTCCTCCTTAGAGCTGTCAGATCTAACATTGGTTCGGGTACAGGTCATGTGCTTCCAGTAGTATGGGCCAAATACTACCTTCCACACCTACATGTACCTTTCCCCAATGCTCTACTTGATAACCCCAATTCGTCTCAAAACTGAACCATATTCCACAACTACTGCATACATCAATCTCAGGTCGTCCTAAGATTTGCTCTACCCGCATCAAACAGACCAATCATGACAGGTTGCCTTTATGCATGCAAATTATACACAGAAAATGATCAAATAGACTTTCGAATAAGAGATTCTACCCTAGGACCACAACCAGACAAGGAACAGGAAATAAGGCCACATCAATCATTCTAAAGCTATAAGCTCCTAACCGTATATAATTTTAAAAGCATACACATAGCAAGTTCCATACGATTATCATAGCTCAAATATCAAATAACATGGCTAACATTTTGGGGAACTACTTACTTGGCTCGGCTGATCACGCGCGTTGCACTCTCATCTTTTCATTTCTTTTAAAACCTTTTTTATTTATTTTTGAAAACAATCTTTCCATTTCCTTAGTTTGAGTCCTGACACACCCGAGAGTGTGCCCGAATCCCTCAAACCAAGGCTCTAATACCAACTTGTAACGACCCAATTTTCACAAAGAAATTTTTCATTTTTGAATAATTAAACACATTTCCAATATCAAGAAATCCAGTTATAATAGTTTTCAAAACATAATTCAAATACAACTTTTATTCCAAACATCACAGTGTCCCACAAAAGTACGAGAGAGTGCACGCCGCGTCATCAAGCCTTGCCCTTTCCCTTGGGCTCCGATGTACCTGAAACAAATCCACAAACTGTAAGCTAATGCTTAGCGAGTTCCCAAAGTATACCACACACAAACCACATACAACACATCATACTAGCTAAAACAGCTATATGTATCACATAAGCCATGCATACAACATATAAGGAAGCCATGGAAACCCTCCAGGGTCTTACACCTAATGCCACGGGAACCCCCGTGTGGTCTTATCTGCCATAAGAACCCCCACATGGTCTTCCTGCCTTGGGAACCCCCACAAGGTCTTCACTACCAAACAAGACATAATGCAAACTATACAAGCAGATATACTAGGATGCCATGGAAACCCTCCAAGGTCTTATACCAAATGCCACGGGAACCACCACGTGGTCTTCCATGCAAATGTCACACTATCATAACGCATAATCAATCAACAATCCACATAACGTAAGATGGGCCGGCCTTGGTGCCTTAGACCCATTGGTATGGTGAGAAGACTCACCTCTCAAAGGCTGAACTGGTAAGTTGAAGTCAAATATATCCCATACGTTGCTCCTTCTCAACTGCCTATAATCATCAAGTGATTAACTTAACACCATCCCAAAAATACTCTCAAATCAACCCTGGACAAAATCAAGGTCAAGGTCAAAGTTCACAGTCAAGGTCAACAGTCCATATTGACCTCAACTCGTCGAGTAGAACCTACCACTCGTCGAGTTCCTGGCATAACTCGTCAACTCGCCGAGTCACTAGAGTGACTCGTCGAGTTCCCCAATGTTTGCGGCCGTGAACCCTCAGCCGCAAACTCCTGACCGCAAACCCATCCAGTCGAAAACCCCTTGGTTGTAAACTCTTTGGCCGACTCGTAGAGTTGATAAGGGAACTCGCCGAGTCCCCCTTCCTGTTTGTTGGTCGTGATCATACAGGGATTCCAGGGCTTAGATATAAACCCCTAAGATGCTTAGAAGGATAAAGTTTCCAACTTTACCTTCTAGAACCATTCCAAACGCTCTAAGGTCCTTAATATATGTTGGAAAGCTCCAAAGCTTTGCCATTTGATCCAAAACTCTAGGGATCTGAAATCCCTCCTTTCCAGAAAGGTTTCTAGTCCTCAAAACGTCCCAAAGATGGAAGCTTTATGGACATGCATGTCCAAAACATGTCCCTATGTCAAAATGGCCAAAAAGAGGGAAATATGCCCTAAAACCCTTGCATGGTGTCCTTACACGACCAAAAGTCAGATCTAGCCCACCTTGGGACCATTTTGCTTTGGAGATTCATAAAGTTGCAAACTTTATGAATCTCATGCATGCATTCAATAAGAAGGGTAGGAAGTGAGGAGTAAACCAAAGATCTAGCCTTATTCTTTGATAAAAATCGAGTCTTGAAGACTTACAACAGTTCACAAGATGATTAAGCTCAAGGATGGGTGCTTGGTTTGCTGGATCTCCTCACTATCTCCTTCTTCTTAAGCTTCAAAGGTTACTCTAGCTCCCAAAATGGAAGAGAATGGGGATTATGGTTAGCATCGACGTTCTTAGTGTTTGGAGGCTGATGGGAGGTCAGCCTCAAGGCTCATAAGGAGATTATATAGGGTGTAAATCCTAAAATTAGGGTTTTGTCTTAACAGCACCTACTCGCCAAATCGGACTTCCAACTCGTCGAGTAGGGTGTAGATCTCGCGTCCCTGAAATGACTTCTACTCGACGAGTTGGACTCCCAACTCGCCGAGTCCACACACCAAAACCCTAGATCTTACATAAATTAAGTAATACCTGAAACAGGTGTTACATGAAGATGCTGATTTGGATAGTTAAGACTGATTTAATAGGATAGTGAGACGTTATTACATCAACCAATCTTTGCGTCCAAAAGTATATATAAATATTAATATCTCATATTCTGTATATGACTTGAAAAAGCCATATTAGCAAACGATTTTGATGCATGGTCGATGAAGAGTAGTCTCACTAGGGTGTTATTGTACATTGGATGTGAGAGCTTAAAGTAAACTATGTATGATGTACGATGAATACCATTTATCTTCGTTATTTATATATGACTTTCTAATCATCAACATAGTAAGAAACAAGTTTATGCATTTAGGTTCTAGTGTTTCATGAAAATTTCAGCTGTAATTTTTCTATGTTGGTTTGCTCTTTTTCTTAACTAATTCGTGGAGCTTGAAAGATGAAATAGATTTTGGTAAGTGTGAATTTTATGTATTTTGTGTCTTGGGGTATTTTTATCATTGTTAATGAATTTCATTCCATTCATTCGCCTATTCTTACATACCAAACAACATGGATGAATGATTCATTACCTTCCCTTAGTACAAGTTGTATGTTTGTTATGCATGGCCTATGGGACAAAAAATGTATTTTTTTGGTCCCACCAAAAAGTGGGACCCACTCTCGAGGTCCCTCCCGATCAATCATTTGTGCCAAAAGACATAAATGTCCTCCTCATCCTCATTATCGAAAATAGTCCTAGAAAGTTTGACCAGTCTGTAACAAAGGAAACCCAAATGATGGGTCATAATTTCAATCAACTATTATTAAAAGTGGTAACTACAAGTTTAGTATATTTTAAATGATTCTTACTCATCGTATAAAATAATCCATGTGTAGCTCAAATACTATCATAAGGAGTAGACAATTAAGCTCCCGAGTAAACCCAACAAAGCACCTGCAGCCACTTCAATTTCAGTGTGACCGATTGCTTCTTTGAGTAAACCAGAAATAGGAGGAGGAGGAGGAGGAGCACCATTTTCAATTTTATCGGGTGTTACAACAAGTGTTGTCTCTTTATGCCACTCTGGCGATTTACAACTGTTTGTTTCCTCAAACTTTGGAGATTTACTAGATTCTGGATTTGAAAATGGTTTTGTAGATGAAGCTTCAAATTGGTTTCTGTTTAATACTTTGTTTAATGTTCTTGCATGAACTCCAACTTCCCTTCTAACGCCCTACAAAATCAGAAATTTCTATGTTAAGATTGCTTTCTTCATCTTCAATCTTTAGGGGGTGTTTGGATTGATGGAATCAGAGAAAGAATGGAATTATGGAATGGAATGGATCATTCCTCCTTCCAGTTTGTTAACTGCCATTCCTTAAGCCACGATGACATTTTACTATTTGTTTGAAAACATCATGACGTGTCTTTAAAGTAGCTGATTAGTTTTGTGGACAATGCAGTAGCATTCATATGGAATAGGTAGCAACATACCTGAGCATCATACATGGTAAGACAAGCATAGACAACTGCTATTCCAAAAATTGAATCCGAGAAGCCCCTGAAATTTAACAAATATATACCAGTGTATCAAATTCTAGTTACTGTTTTTCTGATATTAAAGTTTGACACTTTTTAGACATAATTGAATATGCTATATGGTTTTTTCAACCTTTCTAGACCAAGGGACATTGCAGAAGCCACAGCTGCCTGCCATTATAGAATATTAGAAAAGCAAGTCATGAAGTAGCATAAGCAACATATATGTAATAAAGCAAAAACATGGTTTAGAAAGAAATGTTACAGAAGAATGGGTTGAAGGAAACCCTCCAGCCTGAAGTGCAACTTTTGGGTCAAAATCTCTTCGATATAAAATGGAAGCAGTGAAAGGTTTTGTCAACTGTCCAACTGCAGCACATGCAGCTGCTGCTATCAGCACCTATAGATACACAATCAAATGGAAGAGACAATGAAGATAAATGAATGATGAAAGAAAAAGATCATGATGATCTATGGGGAATGATGATATGTTATGGTATGAGTCTGAATGAAAAGTATTTAACAGTTGAATCAGGTTGGTTACAGCTATAGTTTGCAACTGAACTTGTTTCCAAATACGATTTCCTACCAATACCTATGTTTGCATACTCTAAACAGCTTGGAAATATGACAGTTGCATTGTTGATTAACTTACGAATCATTTATGGATCAATTAGGAATAAAAAATTATGGTGATAACATTCAGATAACAATCGAAACGTATAAAAACCTTATTGTGAGCTATTTCAGCGATTACATCCGTTCCAATTTTGAGAGACGAAAGTGTTGAAGAAACTTTGAGTTTTCTCCTTCTCGAGTAGATACAATTAGTTTCGCAATCGATTCTGTTGCTTTGACTTGTGGACTGTAATAATAGGGAAGAAGTGGAAGAAAAGTTCCAATTGTGAAGCAACATGATCAATTCTCTGTATGTATCTGTGATTCGTTTCTCTCACCAGTTTTCTCAATATGGTGAAACTAATAACAATTCTGTATGTTGATCTCTAGCAGCGTTGTTGCTCCAGAAAGTCCGGCCGGCGCATTTGATATTTAGTAGACAGTTCGGAATTGGGGAAGAAGAGGATATTATGGCTGTGGCGATTCCAAATGCTAACAACTAACTAATTTGTCCATTGTTACTTTCTTGGGCCACAATTGGTTTTTCTTTTTAGTTACTTTTATCGCCTTATTGGGCCCATATCCCAAATTAGCCATAATTTTCTCAAGCTTTCATCTACAAAAATTTGAAATTAGCCATAATTTTTGCAAGCATGTGCGAAAATTTGAGTGTACTTCAGATTTTTATTTTATTTTTATGATTATGATTTTTGTAGGTCAACACGTTTGAAAATCTAGGTTGACTATGACATTTTGTTTTTTAGATTTTTATATGTCGTTCTTAATGATCGGGATAACTCAAATGATATGATAATTGTTATGAAGTTAGTATGTGAAAACGAAAATGTTTTTTTTTCAAACTTTTTTTTTAGATATTTGTAGGACACCATTGTAATTGGGAGAACCAAAATGGTATGATAATTATTATGAAGTTTGTATGTGAAAGCTATGAAATTTCATTTTATAGTTTTCACCGAATAACCTACTTTGGAGCTAAAAAACATGATTTTTCGATGTCCAAATTGGGAGTATAATATTTCAATGGAAATACAATGTTACAAATAACACAATGAAAAAAAATCAGTTCAGACCGAGCTCGTATGTGAAATTTATGAATGATCAAATTTGAGTTTTTTTTCATATTTTTCACTGGCTACCTTACTTTGAAACTAAAAAAATATGACTAGGGATATCTAAATTTGAAGTGTAATATATTCATGAAAAATCCTTGTTACAAAGAACACAATGAAAAAAACTCACCTCAAACAGAACTTATACGAAAGAGCTATGAAGGTTCTGTTAGATATTGGGTAAGGTTTATGGTAGAGATATGGATACCTCTTGGATCGTGTAAACACTTTTCGAACTGATATTTCTACCCTATGGCTGGGTTGCAAGAAACTCATCCTAGGATAATCCCAAGGGGATACTTACGAATCTATGCACAGAACACGTAAGCCAAATTGCTAGAAGGTTATGAGTTTGTATGAAGAAAAAACGAGAACTAAAAAGGTTATCCTTCTCCATAAAAAGAGAGTCGTTTATATAGAAAACAATAAGTAGGGTTTCGTTTTAGGGTTGGTTGTCATGGGTTGCTTTGGAAACAAGTCAAGGGAATCCGGAATTAATAAGGAAATCAATGGTTTCCAAAACTGACGATCTTAGTCAGTTTTACCATAATCACTCTCAAGAATTCGATTTTTCCACTATGTACCCACTAGGAAATCCAAAGGGTTTTTGGGGTGCCGCCCCTCGACCCCGCTCGGTTACCTGGCAGCAGGACCCCAGCCAAGGGTTTTGCCCCTTAGACCCCACTAGGGGCGTTGCCTTTTGGAAACCTCGGACCCAGGGGCGTTGCCCCCAGACCCCCGACTTGTCGTCGAACCAGTTTCTAATTCGATCTTATACATACGTGCACTCCGCACATACTCAAACATATATTAGAGTACAAATTATGAAATCTTTTAGCTCACATGTAAGTTCCAATTATATAAAATGTCATTGTGACACTAAAATCACCAACAAATTCGAAGTTTGAAAAAAAAAAAAAAAGTTTACTGGTAACTACAAAAATCTATATTTTTCGCCCACTTGCAAAAATTATTACTGTTTTGATTATTTTTTATTTTATGGCTATTATATTGTATGGTAATTTTTTTTTTAAATAGCTACTATGATTATTTTTTTATTTTTTTTTAAAGATCATTTCACATTTGTTGATTAACCCGAAGAAAAGAAAAGGAAAGCCATTTCTTGAGAAGGACGGCCAAACGGATAGACGACTGGACGGAGGAGCGCGTCAAAATTTGGAAGATGGACGGAGGAGGGGGGAAGAGGGAGAGGGTGGTGCATCCGGCAATCGAGCCTCTGTCGTATCTTCTCGGAACTTGGAGAGGTGAAGGAGAAGGCGGTTTCCCCACCATATCCTCCTTCACTTATGGCGAAGAGCTCAACTTCACTCATCCTGGAAACAAAGTACGTACCTCTATCTGTTCTCTAGGCTTATCGCTCAATAAAATTAATAAATTATTGTTTACTGAAATCAGACATTCATTGTTCCAAATTGATAATCGATTTCAACATATTCCTATGCGTTTACACGATTTAGCAAACTGTCGATATCGTGATTGCTTGTTGCTATAATCCTCATTACGTAATTTCAGAAGATATGAAGTATATAAATAAGCAGAACCCTAATTTGGCAATAGATACTGTATGTAGTTTGGATCTTGTATTAGTAGTTTGTTTATCTAATTTTGTTGAGTTTATGAATATAATTTGGGAGAAGCCTGTAATAGCTTATTCTCAAAAGACATGGAAGTTGAGTTCTGGAGAGCCTATGCATGCTGAGAGTGGGTACTGGAGGCCAAAGCCTGATGGAACCATTGAAGTTGTTATTGCTCAGAGTACTGGCCTCGTTGAACTTCAGGTTGTTTCTTCATATCATCTTTCAATAATCAATCCTTATTTCTCTTTAGATGCATTATATATAAACTTGATTGTTTGTTTTGCAGAAAGGAACATATGATGCAGAAAATAAAGTTGTGAAGCTTCAAAGTGAGCTTGTAGGAAATGCTTCTAAGGTGTAATCTCAGTAAAGCATATATATATAGTACATTTTTAGTGTTTTTATTTTATATATAACAAAATTCACAAATAATTATTTAACAAAAATATGAATGTGGACAGGTGAAAGAGATATCTCGGGTTTTTACCATGGTTGATGAAGAGTTATCATATGTGGTTGGAATGGCCACCAGTTTAACCACTCATCAGCCACATCTCAAAGCATCACTCAAGAAGATCTAATCTTTTTTTAATCTGTTTTCCGTTTCAATTCTATTTATATGTACAAGATCACAATCATTCTTCATGTTTGGATCAAACCAGTTTTTTAAAATGTACACTGTACACCATCTAACTTGCATTATGCCATGATAACTCGAATAACAGTTACAAGTTACACCATGTGACACTAAAATCACTAATAGCTAAATGCAAAAACTAAATTATAATCTCAATTTAACTAAAATATGCACAACCCAACACACCAAATAGACCACTCCCTTCATTTATTAGATAATCATATCAAGAGAAAGAAAGACAAACATAAATTCTACGCTTCTAACAACACCTAAATACAAGTGTCCATGTAAGACCATGGCACACGATTTATTCAAAAAAAAATAAAAAATCGACATTTGACCTTACTTTGACCGTTTCTCCTATCATTACTTACTCTTTTCATTTATCTATTTTCTCTTCTTCATAAGTTGACACATTCTGCAAAACGACATCAAAGTCGCTAATTTACAAGATAATCAGCCCATGTTTCCCATACAGATGTATTTTATCTGCAAAAAGATTTTATTTTTAGTTACCTTTCCAAAAAAAATCATCTGTTTGATCTGTTAGAGATTTTTTTTTTTTTTTTTTTTTTAAATCAGGCTTACTTCAAGATAATCGTCCATCCCATATTTGGAACCTTCACGCCCTAGACCCGACTGCTTAAAACCTCCAAATGGAGCCACCTGAAATGAAATTCATCGAGACAACAAAAAGGAAACGTCTGAATAACAATACCAATTCAAGACTAAAAAAACAAATGAATCCATTCAGTCATACCTCTGTAGACACCAATCCTTCGTTAACTCCAACAATGCCATATTCAAGAGCTTCAGACACACGCCACGATCGCTTAATACTGTTTGTGAATATGTAAGCAGCTAATCCTGCAATGCAAATTTATATATAAAATACATTCACTTTTTGACTAAAACCTAAACTATATCTGAAAAGAAAAAAATTGTTCTTGTTTTTTTTTTCTTTTGGGATTATTTACACGGGAAAAGACTAAACATAATAACAGGTTGTACTGTTATATATGATGGAATTGCATGATGAAAGCAGTAGAGTTTTTTTCTATCATAAAAACCTGCATTAGTATCATTAGCAATCTGTATAGCTTCTTCCTCCGTTTTAAACTTTAAAACAGGTGCAACAGGTCCAAATACTTCCTGACTGTAACAATATAAAAATTCAAATACTAGTCAAAACAAACCATAGCAAAAATATATAAAATAAAATTGAGTTTGAGATAGATTACCTTGCTATGAGCATCTCGTTCTTGACATCTCCTATAACTGTAGGCTCATAAAAGGTCATCCCAAGGCTATGCCTTTTACCACCTAGTAGAACTTTAGCTCCCTATAAATCAAACGATATTTGCATATACATTAGTGACTTAATGCAGAAAGAACGACTTAATACAGAAAGTCATAAATGTATAATATAATATTCAACAGTTGGTGTGGTGAATGGTGATCAAACCTTTGAGACAGCATCTTGCACGAATGAATCAACCTGCAAGGCAACATTCATTTAGGAAACATAATAACAAGTGATTAAATTGATTAATCAAATAGTTTAACAAAAATTAACCTTTTGTACAGCAGCCTCATTAATTAGTGGGCCCTGCAAAACAATATTCGACACTCGTTACAATCTTTAAATTAAAGAAAGAGGGTGTCCGGATGTGTGTTATTATGGTAGTTATTGCAACTTCAAGAACTAAAATAAGAATTAGAATCGGTCAAGGTGATCTAAGTTAGGGGTAATTAGGTAATTTTTACATTTATCTAAATAATTCATTACCTGGGCCACACCTTCTGATAAACCATTGCCAACTTTAAGGTCTTGAACAGCATTTGAGAATGCTTTTGTGAATTTCTCATATATGCCTACAAGAACCATGAATATTCATAATACCAATTACATATAAAAGAATTTTATATAAAAATTCATCAATCATCATTTGCTTTCATGTTTCCCGTTTTTATCAAATTAGAAAGTAAAAAAGTTTGACATAGATAATGGTTTATAATATTTATACCTTCTTGCACAAGTAATCTATTTGCACATACACATGTTTGTCCACTGTTACGGAATTTGGTTGCCAACTGAAAATACAAAATCA